TTGGCCGTACAGCAGCAATTTTGCACGTCCACCACATATGGTAGAGTGACCCCTCTTGTTGATTACATTTCCAAGAAACATTGGAAATTGTCCCATCCATCTTTGATAGTCTTTGGGGCCACAGCAGATAAATAGAGAGCAAACCTCATCCCATTTTAGCACTGAAGATGCTACCTAGCCGGGTAACGAAACTTTTGCAAGAAAACAACCAAGCTCAGAAAACTCCGAGGACTCCACAGTCTTTGTTTTGCATCTTCCCAATGTGATCATCTGCACATATTTACACCCATTGCTTCTAATCCTAAATATCCTTTTATTATTTACAGACGACTCAACAAATCGCCAACGTTGCAATAAACACGAGCGCAGGACAAGACGGAAGCACTACTCTACGCCCTGCATCCCCCTTTACAAAGATGGCGGCTACGGTCCTACTGTATCGCGTTAACATCCGCCCGACACAAAGATGGCTGACCCGCCTCCTCCAAGTTGAGGCGTAACGGTCGTTCGCGCGTTAGTACGCCGCTCTAGTAATCAGATCCTGTGCGTCGTCAGTGAAGTAGCAAATCGTGATTGGCAGAGAGGCGATCACGTGAGGCAATTGGGACTTTGTTGGCGGAAATAGTAGCGGGGTGAATAATAGCTGGGTGGAAGGTGAGTGTGAGGTCTTGCAGGAGAAGGAAAGTTTGGGGGGCTTTCCCCCCTTAGTCGTATTTTGCTTGTTGAAAAACAGTTCTGGAAGCAAAGGGGATCAGAAATGGGAATGAAGAAACGAGTACCTCTGAGCCCAAGCACAATGGAGGAAATTAGTTCAGATGAGTTTTCGCACAATGTTCCTGGTCTCCTCCCAGCTTTCCACTTCAAAACCCTCTAAAAGAGTCTTTTTGAGTTAGGAAAAGGAAAAATTGTGTTAACCTACTGCAGTTTATCTAAAGATGTCTTAATACTCTCTGACTGACTTTTATCCCGTTATTTGCTTCTGTGGGGCTGGAGAATTGTAATACTTCGAGGTAGTCCTTAATTTCCTACAATGCGGGCTTTCCTCCCGGAGGAAATGCTGTGTAGGGTTGTTTCTTTGTAATTTTACGATAAGCAGCCGCTCTGGGGATGGGGCTTTCAGTTTTAACAACAATGAAAGCTTTCGTGGTTCAAAGATTTTATGTCCTGCAAAATCTTTAAAAAAAAGAACCCTGCCAAGGAAAAGGGGTTTCCTTTTCCTACATAAAACTGCAGAGATTATATCTGCATATTGTGGTTAGCCAGAAATTAGGTTATTTGGTTGTCTGAGTGAGCTGTGTGAATCTAGCTAATTGTATTTTTTGAATAAACAAAACGTGGCTTTATTTCAAGTGCTTTTAAGTCACTTCAGTCATTCTAACTTTAAGCACAGTGTGAAAAATAGGTCACTAAACTAGAGGAAAACTCAAAGATTAGTATTTGTCATGCCTTTGTTTGAAATGTTAAAAATATTGTAATCAGCAGCTGACAGAATGACTAAAATTTTGCACTGATAATCACTGTTTCCATATATATCAGTCTGTTTCTGAGGTGAACGTCTTACTCAATTTAGGAACATGTACATTTGCTTCATTAGACAAGACTTACATAATTCATCTTGAAGAAATTTGTTAGACTTTTGTTTTTTAAAAGGGACACAGAAAGGGACATTAGTTTAACAGGCTCTAAAAGGGAGTTCTCAGCCTCCATTGGAAAATCAGGTTTTGTGTAGTGGTACAGAACCTGGATTCCCAAATTCAGTAATAGGAAGATATAGCTCACCTGATGTGGAAAGCTTTCCATCTTGTTCCGTGGTAATTCTTTTAGCAGGAAGAGCAAGTTTGAGTTGCCATAATAAAAACATCGATATAATTCAGTATAATGAAATAAAGACAAATGGACGTATTTGTGATATAGAAAAATGCTTTATCATAATGTTCCTTAAATGCTTTTCCTTGTTCCATTGTGATGCAATAATAATCTTCCCCTAGAAGGATGCAAGGCTGGGTTAATAAAGTGAGAAACAAAACAAATGTTGCTCTAAAAATTCCAACTACAACTTTCAAGACTTGCTGGCTTTTTAATATT